TCAACATGTTGAACAGAACCTATTCGAGCATGAATATGATCAACACGTGATACTATTTGACGCATACGTTCTATGTCAGATGGATGATTAAGAAGACGTTCACATACAACTAACCAATGTGAAAAATCAGCAGTCAAACGAAGATTTAAAAAATGAGTAATTAAATGTAATGTGAGTGTTGGATTAAATAAAGAACGACCACGGTGAGTCTAAACAAAAAAAAAATATATATTTATTTATCTTTTAATAAAATTGAATAGAATATATAAACATACTTCATGTGATGATGTTACATTTGGATATTTACCTTGTAATTCTAATGCTCCTTGAAAAAATGCTTCTTGTTGTTCTAATGTCCAATTATCTTGTCCTCCATGAATATTAATATGAATTGGATTATATTTCATAAGTTGTTCTAATTCTCTTTTTAAATTATTTAAATGCTCATCAACTGTTAAATTTTGCCATGTTCCAGGTACAAAATCAGCCCAATTTGTATAACAAATTGCAATTAATTCAAGTTTATTTTTTGATAATGTTTCCATAAAAATTTCATCATTATTTTTTGATAAACGATGAATTTCATTCAGTGATGCTTCAATGCCATCAAAACCAAGACGATGAAGTTCACTGAATAAAATACTAATATCAGGGGAAAATTGATTTTCAGCACCCCATATTGTTCGAAATACCTTTAATTTCGGAAAATGTGATGTAGAATACATCATACGAATCAATAAAAGAAAAGAAAAGAACGACCCACGTTCGAAAACAAAAAAAGAAAAGAGTAAATTGTTATCTCTATTACTTGACAGAAGAAAGAAAGAAAAACGTGGTTTCTATGTAAATATGTAAGTCAATCATTATTGATATAATGTTAAGCATTATTCTCTATCTTGGACTTTAACCTTTCATAAACAAATGTTCAATGAATATTAGATTTGCTTATTTCTACTGTTAATTTTACTTATTTAAATAAAACGTGTGATTTTAAATTTGTTCTTGTCGTTTTTTTAAATATTTGCATAACTATAATAGATGGCTAGTAACAATCATGAAAGCATATTTTTGCTTACTATTTAGTGTGAACTGTTTGATGGTGTCAGGTTTCGTTGAAAATGACACTGCTATAGTTACAATCACAGATGGTACCATGGTAGTTTGTGCTTTATATGGACTTGTTGGTATTTCAGCAGTTACGACTTCAATTTGCATCTCATCATCTCGTACCTCTAAGTTGTCTTCACCTGA